TATATATATATATATATATATATATATATATATATATATATATATATATATATATATATATATAATGAGAGAGAAAAATAGGCATTTGGCGGGAAAGAGAGGAGACTGTAGAGTGACCGCAAAGAAGGGCTTGCTGGGAGGGTTGGGACCATAAACCTCAGACATGGTATATCATGACAAAGTCAGGAAATGGAATAAGAGCAAAAAGTCTGTGAAGTTGCTCAAACGGGCAACGTACTTGGAAGGCGAAATAGCGACTCCCGTTCAGGTTGACGTTGGCCGCTTTCCAGACTGAGCCGTTCTGCGGAACAGGCTGATCCAGAACGAACCTGAGTTGACGATTGTCCGTCTCGCTGGTCTGTTGACGCAGGCTATTCCATAACTCTGACGACAACCGGTTTAGCGTCTGCAAAAACGGACCCGACCCACTGGCACCGTCCCCTCCCTCCCAACTGTCTGCCTCGGTCTTGCTCGCATCCGCGTGTAGGTTGGTACAGCTGGCCGGTTTTTGAGTGGTCTCGTTTGACCTGAAAAAGGGTTAACGAATAAAGATTCTCATCTTCATCTTGACATAACCTAGCGACAAGAGGTCGAGTGGACTGTCAACTCTGAACACTGCCCTCCAATTAGCCACCCAATCAGCCAGCCAGCTTGTCTGTCTGTCTGTCTGTCCGTTCATCTGTTTTTGTCTGCCCACTTCCAGTGCTGGCGGTGGTACAGATCAGGTCGTCAAGCCTGTGCTCAGCGTCTTATGAGGTTGACGCAGCTTGATGTCGCCAGAACCACCAAATTGAGATGATCTGGAATTCAGAATTCTGACAATACGTGACCATCAATTAAGTATTTGGCCTGAACACCTTTCGGTTGAATGTTCAAGCAAGAAGGCTAAAGGCTGGCATCTGCGGTTGCATGCCACAAAGTGGCAGGTCCATGACCCAGTCACCTCAAACGGGCCCAGAAGGCTAAATCAAGACCATACAAATGGATGTATGCGAAGAAAAGTTGGGTTTCGAGGAAGCTCTTCTTTCATAATTGTTGAGCTTACTTCGTTAGCTTGAATTTTGTTGTGAAGATGTTACCTTGCTCTGATGATGTCCGTCATATGACGCAAGAAAGCTTAGCACCTTTTCATCGGAATCGAAGGAGATTGCCTCGGAAACAGCGTCAGCATGAATCTTGCAGTCAAGTCAATCGACAGCTGGTCAAGAGAAATCCGCTGTCATCTTCTGGTAGAACCAACCTTCAAAGCTCTTTACCCAACACTAATTCGAAATGGAGGTAGGCTCAACAATTATGAAACAAGGGAG